AGAATACTACCAAAATTTAGCCAGTCTCATTGTGAATACTGCACTTTGATTAATTTCTAGAATGTCCCACAAATGCCAAATAAGCATTTGATTCTAAGTAGAATCAATGGAATAATCTAGGGGGAAAAAAAAGGCAGCAAATGGTAGGTTAATGCCGTGTATAAAATGATGTACAGTTCTGTATTTACCTTGAAAGGAATGTCTCGCATTAGAAATATTTAGGTAAGGACTTTTTGCTGTTCATGGCAGAAATCTTTTCCTTGAATGCAACAGAACATTTCTAGGGCTCATATTTCTCCAAGATTGTGCAAGTATTTCAAGCATTACAAATTTTATTATGCATTTACATTTGTTATATTGTTTTCATCTGGATGATCATCTTAAGAAGAAATAATAGAAATCACAGTACCAAATGCATGTATTTACTTAACCAAATGTACACAAAATATTCACATTATGGATAAAACTATGATTTCCAAATCATGTCCTAAAAAATAACTTATTATGATATAAGAATTCCTGGTAAGCAATTTGATCTTTCCTCAATTTCAAAAGAAATTTTATCTGTTCCCATCTAACGTCATTACTTCACACAGAAGTTGTATATTCAAAGGCACAGCCACTAAAAATATGGAGAGAAAAAAAAAAGCCAGTTCTAGTTGCACATTTGTAACTCATTTTAAGTGTGGAAAACCTGTATGAATGTCCAGAGATGGTGAGATGGTTTAGACGATAAAATATTTTTGCCATAGAATTAATTTTCACTAGTCTATTTTTAAAAGTTCAATCCATTTTCCTGACCTTTTTTATTTCTGAAATCCTCTGCAATTGAAACATTTACATCAAAATTACTAGCATTTGATATTTTTATACAAGGAATATTACATCTTTAAGGGAATTCAAATTTAATGATAACACAGTTCTTATTAGGAGAAAGATACAGAAGACTGAAGGATGTGATTAACTAGCAGAATTACATTTCCATTATAGTAAAAGGAGTGGATCCAGGTGTGGACTGATTAGATAAGTAACTTGCTAGAATCTAAAAAAATTCTGAAATGTAACCTTGCTTACTCATTTTAGCTGCCCAATAGCTATAATGCTTTTTTATTATATCTAGTAAAAACCTGTTTATCACATCTATATTCATGTAAGCGTGTAACTTAATACCAGTAAGGGTTTCATCTGTATCATTAAAACCAAAAAAAGGATAGCTGGAAAGAAGCAGATAACCAGTAAGTAAAGTAAGGAAAACAGATCCTTTTTCTTAAGCAGAATATAAATATCAGGAACAAAGTAGTAAAATGGAAGAAGAGTCCCTCTCATAAGTACTATCTCTGCTTTCTTAGGTTTCCTCATTATCAAAGATAACACTGAAAGAAACTTTGCACATTAAAATAGAAAAACAGAATATCAGTGAGAATCATAATCTTGTGAAGTGCAAAGTGAATATCTCTTGTCATTGAAATGTATTCCTGGTGATAATTTAAATCCTGCTTAGTCTTCCATATCTGTTTCATTTCACTTTGACACATGACGTTGACAAAAATTAAATATTGATTATGCTTGTTAAATATAGGAGAAGCAAAGACTTGAACTTGAGAGATATACTTTTCTTTCACAGTAATTTCATCTTTTTAAGGGTAGAAAATGAGGAATTTTGAAGGTTTGACTCACTCCTTTGTATGTATTCAAGTTATTCTTTTAAGTTATCTGAAGTAGGTCTAAAATGACATGTTGTAAGTTAAAAACAAAATGAAACAAAAGAAGTCAAACAAAGCAATCATAAAATCTCTCTATATTCACAGAAAGAATTTCACACTGATTAACCTATTGCTTTTGTACTTGAAAAAAACATTGTATTTAAGATCATGGAAACACCACCCAAGCACACAGACAAAATTGTTGTAGGATCTCATAATTTGAGCAGATAATTAAAATAACAAGAAAAAGCTGAGAGCCCCTCTGTATCATGTTTAATGTTTGCCATATGGGCATTCATCACACTCATTCAACCTGTTGAGAAAGTAGTAAAATTTGAAGAGGGTCACAAGCATATCATAGATGGTAAAAATATATCTGCTATAATCATGGTCAACTTTATGGATGAATGATTGAAGAAAGCTGGACTGTTAGCGCAATTTCCCCTTGAGTAAAACTTAAGATTGCCTTTGTATCTGAATACGGTCTAAAAGCTCTTTGCTCAAAATCCAAATGCCTTTTACAGTACAAGAAAGGGGCTCTATAGGGATTTATTAAAAGCTTAAAGAACAACTGAGGTCACTTAGTTTTGAGGATGTACCTAAAGATAGATGGAGCAGTCCCAGCACAAATTTGTCTTGAAAAGTCCTGACCTTACAAGTGTTTACAATGAAAAGTATAACTCCTTCTTTTATGAAAGAATTAAGCTTTTCAAGACTAGTCAAGATCTGTAGGTTTTAACTCATTATATATCATTTACTACTTTGTTAGATTTTTAGAAAATATGAAAGACAAAATGTAAAGTTATTGTAAATTTAAAATTATATTTCATATTTTATGTCTGCCTACATGCTCTTTGTGTACGTATAAGCAACATTAATTTTCACAAAATCAAGTCGTGAAAAGGTAACGAATTTTTCTAGCAGACGAGTCAAGGGTGGTAGTGGTAATAGTGGTAGCAGTGGTGGTGGCAGTAGTAGTAGTAGGAGAAGGAGGAATAGTAGTAACACCCTCTCCTACACTTTCTCTCCATTACACTCATACATTAGCAGCTTGCTACTTCCATACATTCAATATAGATCCCATCACTGCAGCAACCTGTTTTTTTTTCTTTTTCTTTTTCTTTTTTTTTTCCTCCTGAGACACACAATTTTCTGCTATGCACATTTAAGACAAAAATACAGTAACAAAATCGTGCAATGAAATAAACTGGAATATGTAGTTCACAGACATCTAGAACTTCTAGCTTTTTGGCTGGACTACAACTCCAAGGAAAATGCATAATCAAAGAAAACTTTAAATTGCTTTTTGCTGAAAATTTCTCTCATGTTTCAGGTCATATATACATGATTAAGAGCTGTGAAATGAGTTTGTAAAGCATAACATGAGAATATTAAAAAAGATATACATTTACAAATTAAAGAAAATTATCTAGAATATCAACTGGATACTACATTACATTTACCTTCATCCACACTATAGTGTGATGCAAGGAGTCCAGTGTAAATTACATTCATATTGCGTTATTAGAAAGCCAGGATCCAGAAGGAAAAACATAATGAGATCAGTGAATTCACCTAGACATACTGAAAATCTTCAGGAATATGAATGAACCATATCTCTTGTAAACTTCATGCAAAGTTTGAGAACTTGAGGGGATGAAAAAGGAAAGGACATAAGGATAACAAGAGTGGATAGAGTTTTGTTTTCCTTTAAAGTAACAAGCAAAACAACA